AGTCAGCTTCCCTTTGATTTTCCACAACTTCTGCTACCTGCATATTATCTGATGATAATTTACTCTTTCGATTACAATCAACAAATATATTATTCTCAATCAGCATATCATATAGTGATAGCTATTTCAGATACTACGTGAATGCTGACCCATAGTATCTTCTCACACCATCATATATTGTATCAACTTCATGTTGGTTAATATCTTCTTCATTGAGAAGTTTTCTCATGGTGATTCTGGTGATAAAGCCAATTCTTAGTTGACTGTCATCTTTCTGGTTGTGGAGTCCAAGGCCTAGTGTTTTATATGAACCCCCTTTCTACTCTTCTTTCTTCAAGGATTTACAAATTCCAAAACTACCTTCTGCATGAATTTGTCCATTTCACCTTTTAACAGATAGATCAATCGATCTTCATGCTGAAGGAAGTTGTTGAACATTGTGGAGATCACTACTCATGACTGAATAATAATAACAAAAAGAGATAAAACCTCTGTCATAGGATCTATGAAGGCATCTATAAGTCTTATTGAACTATCCTATGAGCAGTTTTTCTGAGAGAAAGTAAGACTTTAGCTCATCAAATTTCTTTAACTCATGGTTTACACAAGGAAAGCCAATGAACTAAGTCATACATCACAACATATTCATAGGATGAGTCACAACACATGGTACTCATTTAGAATCCCCCTTTTCTTTGTTGCTTTATCAAATTAGAAAAAAAAAACACAAATGACTTTCAACATCAAAATTAGTGGTCTCACTAAATGAGGTAAAGGCTTTACCAGCTGTTTAGACAATCCCCAATACAATTAACAATTACAGCAGTCTTTATGTAGGTATATAAAAATTATTAGGTGCATCACAGTCTTTAAACTCATTCTTTATGAAAGGTGATAGATGATCATATAAGCTGAAGAAGGTATTATGTTGTGTTATAATGACAGCCATTGTCACCTCAACTTTGATAGCAGGATGGATTGTTGTTTTGCTGGTAGGTTTTCCCAGGAATACCTATGATAAATATTAAACTAAATAATCATGCAGGTAGTTTATTTACACTGTAGATTGAGAAACATTAAACTATATTACTCAATTTGTATTCACATTCTTCTCTTGTGGCAGCATCTAGGTTAATTCCCCTACTCATGAGCAGACAGGGTAAACACAACTTGCCTCTCTCTATGACAAGGATGTTTGGGATTATGACTCAAGCAGGGCATGAAACACGAAGAAGATAATGTTTCAGCTTTCATGAAACATTGGGAAAACACAGTGGATTGACAGAATGAAATGAAATATCACTTTTGACTTACCTGGATGATTTTTCATGCCATTTGAACCACCAAGAGAGATCCAAATTACAGCATATGCAATGAAATTAGAACTTCTAATATTTCACAGTGATACAAGAAGGCCTAAAAAAAACCTCTTCTCTCAATCACTTCTTGTACTCCATTTTGCCAGCAGATTCTGCACCATTAACTATATTTCTCTTTCTTGAAGACTCTCCATTTCCCACTGAAGACATTTCCCTTTTACAATTGCACAAACGTAAATGATGGATGGATGTAGCCTGCCAGAGCAAGGTACTTATATTGAAACCCTTTAAAAAAGCTGTTTTTGAGGTAACAGACTACATCAAGTGACAATGTAACCAAGTACAAGTGCAAAACTTGTGTTTTAATAAAAAAAAAGTTGTGGTTTGTTGCTTAGGAAATTGACCACAAACTCAGCTCAGTTTTCTTGTTCCAATGTCTTTTGGCCAATCATGATTCACATCAAAAAGGATTACACATTTTTATTAGATATACACGACTGTTTCAGTATAATATTAATACAAAAGTTACGATTTAGATAGCTCATGTAGCGTGAGTGTTAAATTTAGTTATTTTTGGTAACAAATCATATGTTGTGTAGTTCAATAGTTATGAATTGGTGATTGTTATATTATTGCATCATGTTACTATGACCCTCTGAGTTGTTCTCATTCTTTTAATTCAGTATTATTGCATCATAATATCTAGTAGTGTGCAGAGCATTTTAGACCACTGTCAGAGTATAAATACATGTTGGAAATTTAATTTGATAGAGAGACCTAGACTGTGTGATTGTGAGTTTAGCCATAAAGAGTGAATATTGGTGATTTTTAAAGTGAAATTATTACAGATTATATTGTAATAACAGAGTAGAGATGAATAATTCACTAAATTCACTGAACCTGCCAGTGTGGACTTTGACTAAAAAAAAAAAAGGAAGAAGACAAATATTTAAAGCTCTGGATACAACTATGATAACCAACAGTATAACAAACATTTGTATATACTTATAGTATTTTGGCACTTGTGTATAGTTAAAATCATAAATAATATTCAACATTAAACTGGTACACAGTTAAAAACATTTTATTAAGGCCTATCTATGGCCTTCAAAAAGTTGTGTTACGCCTCTGGTCATTAGTTAATTTCCCGTATAATTTCTTTCCGATGAAACTT